AATATAGTCTATTATAGGATAAATTTTTAAAATATAGGAAATACAGGATATATAGGACTGCTGCGAAGCCAGTGTAGAAGACAAGACTGATATAGAATGATGTTGAATTATGTTCATATCGTAGGACACCTTTCGTTTTCTTTAAGTAGCAACATTTTGCTGAAATATTGGACTGTTAACTTTATTTCTTATTCATGAATATCATAAGAGACATTCATATACAAAGGACATGGGCGTATAAGATACCCTATCGGTCCATTCCGATTTTTTCAACTGAACCTAGCCAAATTACATATGAAATGAAAGCTGCCGTTCAGACAAGTATTTTAATACTAAATCAGACACGAAAAAAATGAATTTCAAAAAAGTTATGGACACTAACAAAAGCTCACTATTTGACTGTTTCTCTTGAAAAGAGTCGCCCATTTTCGATATCAATATATCACAATAGAACTGTTCTCACATTGACCAGTCGATAGACATTTTTACGCTGTACAAAACAGGATGGCTAGACAATTAAAAAAACATTGGTCACTTCATGATCAAAGGGCAAGTACTGTACGTAACTATCTGTTTTTTAATTTTTTCCATATTGCGACGAAAATTTTTGGGAAAAATCGAGTTGGACCATTTTTCTAATCTATACCATTAGATAGGTATATTTACGCGCTACACAATAGGATGATTACGAAAGCCAAAAAACATTGACCACTTAAAGATAGCTTCGGCATGCAATTTTTGAGTGCTGATTTTGTCGCCTTTTCCTACTCTCTATTGGACTATGGCCCGAAAGACTATATTTGCTGTAAAAAATGATGTTATATTCAGAATCAGCATCAAAAACAGAGTAGGTTTAACTGCATTTCAAATCTTTTTGAGTAATTAAATTTTGGTCGAAAAATTCCCTGTACTTCCCTCAGCCTCAAGTTTGCGTGAAAAAATAAGTTCATTAAAACACGATTTCGACAATGGTTATCAAATTCTAACCATATAAAATGTTATTTGAACCCAAATTAGCAGAACGTTGAACGAAAACGAAGTGGTTCTGGTGAACTTATTTTTTTCACCCAACCTTGATGAGGAGGAGTACAGGGAATTTTTTCGACAAAAATTTAATTACTGGAAAATATAGGAAATGTAGTCAAATCCACTCAGTTGTCGGTACTGATTCCGAATATAACATAATTTTTTACAGCAACTATAGTCTTTTAGGCCGTAATCCAATAGAGAGTAGGAAAAAACGAGAAAATCACCACTCAAAAAAGCGTATGCCGAAGCTATCTTTAAGGGGTCAACGGTTTTTTACTTTTCTAATCGTCCTATTTTGTACAGCTTTAAAATGTCTATCGACTGGCCAATGTGAGAATAGTTCTAGTGTGATATATTTGTGTCGAAAATGGGAGACTCTTTTCAAGAGCAACAGTCAAATAGTCAACTTTTGTTAGTGTTCATAACTTTTTTGAAATTCATTTTTTCGTGGCGGATTTAGTACCAAAATGCTTGTCTCAACGAGACCTTTCATTTCATATGTAATGTGGCTAGGTTGAGGTGAAAAAATCTAAATGGGTCGATAGAGTATCTTATACGCTCACGTTCTTTTGGAATACAATATTCATTTACAAAAGAAACAAAAAATCTTTTGCTTGATTCTATTTTAGTCATTTTTGTTTTATTTTGTCATATACCACAGCGTGCCGCTATGAGCGCTTCTATTGAGAATACAATCTTGTTGTCACAACAAAACTTTAGTACCATGAAATTATATATATATATGATCGAATAGGACAAATGGTAACATTTCAAAAATCATAGTTATACTTTTATTTAATTTCTTTTTATTTAAAAGAAACATTATGAAAACTATATGATAAGATCTAGTAATTGTGTAGGTCAAATATACAAATGAGAAATATTAAACATTTTGATAAAGTTGGACCATGGAGACAAATGATTCGGGTAAATGTTTTAAACAAACCGGTAATGGAGAATATTCTCCGGCCGTCGTTGTATTCTATAACAAAAAAGAAATAGATACAATAAAGTTACACATCGGGTATTGATTCTATTGAAATAAGCGAGGACTGATTTAATCAAAGAGAACTTTTATAATATCTTATTGTATGGCAAAACCATTCCTAAAAGTTATAATCATGAAGTGAATTTTACTAAATGTCAAACATTGAGCAGACGATAATTGTTGAAAAAAATTGATAGTTTCTGATAAAAAGAAAAAGTAGATGCAGTCTTACACATGACAATTGGATAGATTTAACTTTCAAAAGAATTTCTTTATTGGTTTCGTTGGCTGATGTATCTGATTCGATTGTACAACTAGCACATTTCTCCATATTAGACGAATATGAAAGATCATAAAATGGTTCCTGAAATAATTATATGTCATTGTTCAAACAATAAGAAAAAAAATTTCTTCATCTTACTCGACACATTTTATACAATAAATAAAATAAATCCATATTAAGAATAAGTTCTTTAGTCGCACGTGTTGCTGCAACATAAAGTATATTTAAATTTTCTCGATGCTCATCAAGAGATATTTGTTCAAGCGGTGAATCACTTGAACGTGGAAGAAAATCATCAGCTAATATAACAATTGGAAATTCTAATCCTTTTGCTTTATGTGCTGTTGATAGAATAATTTCTGAAGAGAAAAAAAACGCCTAATGAATATTTCGATCTATTCTTTGAATAACACTTAAAAAAAGAACACGCTTACTAGCTTGACTTATATCCGTACAAGATTTTTCTTGTAATTGTTTAATCTTCTCAATTATTGAATGCCCATGATATTGAACAAGTTTTATTTTTCCTAATAATTCAGCATCAGCTACGTCTTGTGAAAATTTTTCCAACGTTTTAAACGATGAAAATGACTGTAACTGAGGATCTTTTATTTGATAGTTTTCTAAAAAAAAGAAATATTTTGAAAAAAATAATTATTAAAATAATGTTTTGTGAAATTTTACTTTTTCGGCGCTCCTCAGGATCAAGCCAAAGAAAGAATACATCGAGAATTTTCTCAAATCCCATTGCCTCTTTACCCTTAGATAGCATTCAAATAAAATTCAAAAGATAGTTTCAAATACAAAAAAGAAAGCAGTTTCTTACTCCAACAAAACAAACATGTTTTAAACCTTTTTCAATAATAAGTTGTACAGCACAATTAAATAAATTGTAATTTGTCCGAAAAAGATACGCTTTTTGGTCTTTTGTAACTTTATCAATGGACGCCGATCTTCCATCAAGACAACCTAGAAGTATGAAATTGCTTACTATGATAAAGATGATTATTATTAGGAATCAATTTTCTTAGTGGAAAGCTAAATAAATGCAGTCTATCTAACAATAAATATTAGACAAATTTATGAATCAAAGAAACGTTGTTTCGAAGTTTTTTTTTCTGTTTTTCAATAATGCATTATTTTAAAGTAGAAACTGTTATCAAGTCTCTAGAAATATTCAGTATGAAAATCTTGGTTTCAAAAGATAGGATTTTAAAAATATTCATGTAGAATAAAAGTAATTAATTATCATGTGGCACCATAATCTATGATCGAAAATTCGTCGTGAAATACAATCCATTCATTGCCTAAATTTTTGACAGTTTAGTTAAAATTCTTTTTCCATAAAGATTATGATATCCAATGGTGACTATTCATTAAAAAAGAAGGATGAAAATCAGAGTTTTTTTTTTTTATAGATTTTATAGAATAAATACCATAACTACTATAGATCTTCGATGGCAACACTTACTTGATTTATTATTTCCGATAAGATATTTTTTTTCATTACATAGTTTTTGAAGAATCAGATTTGATATGAAAGCTATATCAAACCCAAAACGAAACGACTACAAGAAAACGATATGAAAATACATGTATAATTAAATCAAGTTTAATTCAATAATATACTTTAGTCAAATAATAAGTAACTGTTGATTCAATTTTTGTCATAGCATTAACTGCACCACGAAATGCATATATTTGTTGATGTTTATCGCCAACGAGAATTTTTGAAACACGCTGATTATTAATAATATCAGTAACAGCTATGACAAAAAATAAAATAGTTCTAATGCGAAAACAAAAGCGTTTCAGTTTTCTCATACCTGGTGTAAGATCTTGAGCTTCATCGACAAATAAACAATCGTATAGTTGAATTTGAGGTTTCGATAATTGATACAATTTTAGATAACCCTTTTCAAATATGAAAAAAAAATAATCGAGATCTATTATTGCTTTGAATTCAATAAACGAACATCATGTGTCATCAAAACTCGTATATCACGAACATCTTTCATAATCGCCCAGATACATCGAGCGTCAGCTGCTAAATTCTAATTAATAAAAATAAAAGGAGATAGACATTTAAGAAAAAACTCTACATAGCGTACCGATTTTTCTTGTGGTATTAAAACTACTTGACTATTGGATTCACCCGAAGATACTGATGAAGAATTCTCAACATGTTCATCTGTTATCATTGGATCAGCAGAAGCAATAAAATTATTCAATGTGTTATAAACAAAACGAGCACGAATATATAACGAATTAACGGTTCGACCTTTTTCGCCAATTAGCGGTCGGTCACTAATAATATCAACAATACTTTTCAGACGTAAATTACCGAGACGACCTTCAAATTGACGACTAGAAGAATAAAATTCTGCGTAAGTATTCCATCCACATATGTATACAATACCCAATTTTAGCATAAGCAAGGGAATGAACCGTTTGACACTTGACATTTGGTGGAAAAACTTTTTCAGCATAAGTTTGAATGGCTCTATTAAATTACAAGAAAAAACGACAGATTGCAAATCTACTATCGAAAAACTTATATACGTTTTTCTAAAATAAAAATTGTTCTCTATATAGATTTCTTAATTTTTGCCTGTGTCGTTACAAATGATAGCTAACACCTGATAGACTCTAGTAACAAAACATTTTGCTTTTAAATCTGTATTAATGATCTAGATAAGTTTCATAATGAAAGAAAGAAAGAATTCTAAAGGATATTCACTTATTATAGGCTACGTAAAGAAATGATTCGTCCATTCGTTTGGCTGCATAGGCTATTAGTGTTGTTGTTTTGCCTGTGCCTGCATACGCATTTATTTTCATTGTTTGTCGGTTGTCTAAATTGTGACATACAATAGTTTCTTGTTCAGCTGTTAATAATAATTTTGATAAACTTAACAAAAAAAAGAGCATTTGAAAGAACACATTCATATTAGAAAATAGTTTACATTGTTGAATAAATTGTATAAGAGGAATCAATATTGAGAATGTGTTGGCCAATAGAATTGTATTGTATTAATAATTGATCTTCATATTCTTTCAGACAATAATGTAAACGATAAGGATACCTAAGAAAATCGAAAAAAGTAATCCATGTATTCTGTTTATAACAAGACACAAATATCCCAAATTTGATTTATCCATATCAAGTTTGCCCAATGACTTTAAAAACGAACGATGGATAGTGTTTTATTAATCGATTAAACTCGAACAGCAATATTGTTCTCAAGACTACATATAACTCTCTTTTTAGTTACTGCGCATAATTATAGATGAAGAAATATTGTAAATATACAAACCGAAATTGTAGATTGCACAATCGAGCAGCACCAGTGAATAATGTTAAAAGAAAGTAAAAGAAATCCATTATTGTTTCATATTTTAATTGATCGATTGTAATCCAAAGACGAAATAATTTACGCATAGATTCAATAGTATTCGATACTATATAGATAGCTGTAGTTGTACTAAGTGGATTAAAAATCTACAATTAATAAACTAGAAAATACATTAAATTAATTTTGTTATATACTTTTTCAGTTGAATTCAATAATAGAAAATCTTGTTGCATTTTATTTTTTGATAATAGATCAATAGCATATTGATACATTGTATGTTTTCGTAATTGTCTATCAAGTTGAATCAATGTTGACAATGGAAATTTAAATTGTATTGTTTTCTCATCAATAGGATTATCGATCATAATCGCAGATACTCGTCTTGATGAATAGAAAGAAAAAAGTCCGATTTATATTAGTATTGAAGTGTGTATTGAAGAAAATTGAAAATGCCAAAACTTAATTCAAAGATTCGAGAATATTATGATTTTAATATTTTGGCATTTTTCAAATCAACATATCAATTAGAAGAAATTCATTGATACCAGTTGATGTATTTATTATTCGAATTGAGAGTTCACTACTTCTATGCGATTAGAACATGACTGAGGCTATTAAAAAAAAATTTCTTCAAATAGATGCTCCCAATACAATCGTAGCAGACACCCTTGGACCTAATAAAATACATACTGAAGAATTTTTTGAAGCACATTGTCCGAATGATTGATCATTTGATCAATTGTTTTCAATGTTACGATTTCTTCATATTCATAACGTAAATGAATTTTTGCCCATCGAAGAAACTAGGTAAAATGAAATTCAATATTGAAAACAAAAGAATTAAATCTAACTTTTTCATCATGAACTGCTATATGCCATTTTTGGCATACTCTAGCAATTTGTGTTAATAATGGTTTAATTGGAATATAAGAAAAAATATGTTGAACGATTTCTAAATAAATATAAAATTTCATCATAACAGTTTGATCGTTTTAAAAATATACCTATTGGCAAATTAAGCCATGGTGGAGATGTAGAATTATGACTTTCTTTGAAATATACCGGTGTGGTTGATACAACATCTTGAAAAAGATTTGTTTTTTTCGTTCGTTTCTTTTCCACTGAATTTGTAGTAGTAATTGAATTCGGTAATTTTCTTTTTGTTGTTTGTATATGAACTTGTGAAAATCTTTTTTGTGTGGTCGGAATAAAATCATCTTGGTCCGTATCTTCTATTGAATTATTAATAAGTGCAGCAAATCGACCTAAAGAAGGTCTTTGTTGCGTTGAACTATTTGTTGTATTTCCTGAAAAACAAGTGATTAAAATATTGAAAAGAATTTGAAAGAAAACATTAATTAAGTTGCTTTTTCTTTACCTTTTTTAAACATCATCTGATACACAGAGAAAATTCTAATTTAATCGACCATTGGTACATTTAAAATCACTCGGAATTTTTTCCACAGAACGAAAGAGAAATAGCGACATCTTTCACTCGAAATTTGTTTGGATATATTTCGGTCAATCTGAGTAAAAATTTGAAGACAGTCGGTTTCTTGCTTCCTGATCATCATTTTCCTTTTCGAACTCAAAAAGAAATAGATGGATAGTAAAAGTAAGAATTCTATCTGAATGATTTTCTTTTTATTTATCATCACTATTTTGTTAAGGTGAAGAAATAAGTTCGATATTTGAACGTTTCCGTCAGTATCTTATGACAAATGACATCGATCGATTATTAAATGAATTTAATCATTATCGTACAACGTGGTCAACAAATAAATTTCGTATGTTTCTAACAAATGCTCTTGTCGTTATGCGAACATGGGCCGAACATCAACCGCAAACAGTTGCAAATGATCAAAATGAAGACTGGGATGCAGATGAAACATCTGCAACCAATGTAACTATAGAAGATACGGTGAAAAAATCTGCTCATTATCTGTTTATTAATATTGTCGATTATTTACAATCAGCTGTTAGATCAGGACAACCTGATCGTATGACAGTCGATGTTGAATTTGATATGTGGAAATGTATTGTGACAAATAAATGGACAATGAATGAAAAGGTATCATTGTAAGAAGTGATGTAGAGTTTTGCTTATATGTTTACGAATAATATTCAACAAAAGAATAGGTTGAGAACGAATACGTAAAGCGATGTATGTGTTTTATTGTAAAAATACTAGTTTACGATATTATCCCTTTTTGAGTTGGCTCATGGAGGACTTTATATGATGATCAAGTCTTCCTTAAATTGAAACATAAATACAGATGTATTCATGTTAAGTTTGAGACGAATAAAAATTCATTTCTTAAAAATAGTATTTGTATTGCATATGATTAATTACTAGAAGAATTATTAATCAAATCAGGATTTTTGTTTTAGTTTTATATTCATCTTTATGATGAACAAATATGTTTACCAATGCGTTTAGTACGTTCACTTTATAACGATATGTATAATTTTTATATTTCAACTGAAAAATGGTCATCATCCACAAAAATTCTGTTAATCAAATTAGGCTTTATTTATTTATTAATTTATGATAATGTATTTCTTGGTTGTAATCATATTCTATCAGCACATAAAATTTTTACTCTTGATGATTATACTGCTTTAACCAAACATAGTCAAGCAAATCCATTGAATTATCAAATAAAATTAATTACATCAATGAATACACCAGAAAAAATGAAAGTATTCTTAGATTATTATCCTGATATTGATTTAGCTGAACTAATAGCGGGTAATAGTGAACTCTATCAACAACGAGCACCATTAACAATACTTGATAGACTTCTAAAAATGGAACCATTTTACTATGAAACTATTGATCATGTGCCATTAGTAGAAATACCGAATTTTACATCGACAAAGCCGAATGTTCGACCAGCCAATATGTTATATTTATTTCAGAAACTTATTTGCAACGGAGCTAAGGTGTGTACTGAAAAACTGCTTTTCATAGCAGTATATACGAGATCTTTTATACACATGTTCGTACGTCTACTTCTGGTTCCGATTAGACTTTTTTGCGACTTCGGTACTGAAAAGAAAAACAAATTTCACGTTATTTTAACCAATGAAAACGTTGATTAAAATTTTTTGAATAAAAAATAGTGAAATTTGACACTGCCCACTATGAGAAATTTATTAGTACGTTTTACTTAGAATTTTCTTGAATCTAAATTACAAGAAAATGAATCTATTGATGTACATACTTCTATTATGATAGCCTATTATATTCGTTATTTATTTTTATTTCTAGCTTTCAATAAATCTTGACAGTGCTTATTATCAAAATCATCGTATTCCATTTTTTGTTTCTACACTTGGTTTTTATCTTCTTTCAACAATTCGCTATCGTGATGTATTTGTAGTTTTATGCACCGATTCAGCAAATAATAGTGATAATGATATTTTTGCAAATTCATTGACAGCAATCAAAACCAACGAACATCTAAGTACAAAATATCTTGATTTAACTAATAATAGTTATATTTATTATCTTATAAAACGTGCATCGACATTTTCTCCCTTGTTTCGTTCATTTTTTTTCAATCATTTATATTTATCCTGTCCATTATTACATAAAATTGAATTTTTCAATGAGAAAAATTTAACGCAAAATGTTCGTCTTCGTTCTTTATATGATCAAATATTTGAACAGCGTACATTTCTTACACTTAAACAACGTTGTCGATTATTAATTAAAGAATCGATTAACAACTATCCAATAGATATTAAAAATTTAAAGCAAATACCACCGACACTTCAATATTATTTATCATTTGATTTTTTAAATCCAAATTTTGTTCAAATAACATTAGATAAATTAAATAAATCTAATGCACGAATAAAACCATCATTATTCGATGAACTACAATTTCATGAACACGGTCTTGCGCAAATTAATGGACACAATGATTGGGAAGATCAAATACCGGAAGACATAGATTATGATAATGAACATGATGATAATGAACCAGTAAAATGAAATTTTATTTTCCAATAGATATGTTTCTATCGTTTTTGTTTTAGGATTATGACGATCATGATGAAGATGCCGACCTTTTTGACGAAGAAGGACTTTATTCAGATAATGATGACGAAGATGAATGGTGATTATTTTTTAGAAAGTCAGATAGAATAAACATTTGTTTGTAATATAGTTGCATTTTGTTTTGAAGAAGAAAGTGTTTTTTTCTGTATCAGTTTTTCTTGTTTCTAAATGTATTATGATGGAAAACAATGTATAATAGACTGTTGAAGTTTCCATGCTGATATTCCATATTTATATAGTTTTAATTAATCAGAGACTGAATAAGTACAAGTGAAAATACTTGCTGCTTACTAATTGTATTTTGAATTTTACTCAAGTACGATTACCAAGTACACTTGAAACCTTTATATGATTATCGATACATCAGTATTTGGCACTTGTACTTAAGTAAATTTACTTGTACTTCTAAAGTATACGTTGTACTTACGATTTTTAAGTAAAAATTACGAAAATACTGACGCGAGTAATTGTGCTCAGTATCCAGTCTCTGTAATTAATGCATATCTGTCGATAATGATATTATATTTAATAGTAACACTGAAAAACAAATACATTCTGGACGTTTTGATGAATAATTCATATTTACTCTGATGAAATGACTGGATATGATGCAACTATTGATAAGAGTTTCTTTCGAAGGTAATAAATTCCTGTTGAAAATACATGAACATTAGAAAGAAATAGAGTATTGTCAAAGTCTTACAAAACGATTCGATAATTCTGAGGTAAGTAATTTGTGAACTCGATTATCATCGCAGGTTGCCTTAGAATAATTTGAAACAAATATTTTTTCCATCACAAAGACTGCTGATACTTTACAAGAGGAAATTCTCTGTTCTGAAAGATTTCGATTCGATTAAGTAATTATAAGAATCGATATTTGGCGCTATCTATCATAAATAGTGGTCCATCCATATTGCATCATTTATTGACTTGCTCATCTTTCAATCGAGCCATTGGATTATTCTAGTGTTTAATCTTGAAATAAAAATTTCATAAACTAAATCCATCAGTTAATTTTTCTTTCCGATAGAAGAACGACCATAAAAATGTCTAGTGAAACACACACATCACCTGAGAAAATAAAAAAACGTCCATCCGTTTCTTCAAAATGTTTATTAACTATAAAATCGATTGTTACTCAAAACGTTTCCGCAAATAGTAGCAATAAAACTCGAGGTATACGTTCACCAATATCAGCAACTGCACCCCTACCGTTAGTTGATTCATTTGTATCAACAAAAGATTCCAATAAACATTCTGACAATGTAAAAGAAATCGATGAAAGAAATCGAAAGAAACCACAAATAGTTTCAACTCGACGCATCGTTATTGATTCTAAAAATAATTTTGATTTGAAAAAAGCATCCGATAGAGAAATTATTACGACAAAGTAAAATTCAACTTTTAACAAAAATATTTTCATTTCAATTCTTCTCGTTTGCATTAGTGGTCATGATCGAACAAAATTTGAAAATGAAAAATCTAAATTATCATCTACTGAATTATCGCGAAGATCAATCAGTAAAACAGAACAAGAAAGTAAGTCACAAAAAAAGGAATTGCTATTTGAATCAAATATTCAATTGAAGATATACAAACAAGCTCGTCTTCCATCAGTGATAAGGAATCAAAATCCGAACAGAATTCTTCTCAAATATGTAAGTCTATTAATATTAAATCAAATTTTTCCTCATTTCTCACTAGAAAATAATCATATATCACTTGGTAAATTCCCTGCTGTATTACTATTGGTTAAGTGGAGAATAATGACACTTCTCCTTTATTCTCTGATCTAAATATGAATACGTAAACTGATGTATATGCGTGCTTTGACTCTTTTGTTTGATTATTCTGACCTAGTCATCACTATTCATACTGTTCATTGTATTTCTCGTTGATAAAATAAATAGTAGGATCTTTCATATAGATTTAGAGAGAATCTTCTAAATTTTGATTAATATAAAATATGCATTGATATTACATTTGTTTTCTATAATGAGAAGACCCTTCAAGTATTAGCTTTACAAGAAAAAAATCACCATAAAATATTTATTTCAGCTGTACCAATGAACAAAAAAGAGCCATCGAATATTCCACCTCTTCCATTGAACTCGTCTGTATATTCTTTGGGTTCATATTCGTCTGCTAATCATATAAAACCATTGTTATCATCATTTCCGACTCAATCATCAAATCGTATTAATGAAGAATATATAGCACAATTATGTCATATTATTGAATCGTCAACTAGTTCAAATGAAACTAAACCCGATGAAGGTTCTACGCATCGTAGTCAATCAATACCTATACATAGATTTGATTCTACGTCACCAAGTATCTCAACGTAAGTGTTTTTTAAAAGCAAAAGAAACATGAAAACCTTTACTTCTCTCTGCCAGTATTGATGAAGATGATGATAATTTTAATGGGCCAATTGCCATTGTGAATAGTTCCTTAAACATGCCATCCGGTTCAACTAATTCTAATCAACCGATGAAATCACGTCTAAGTGATCGTTCAGAAAAAGAATATCATAACAATCGAAAGATGACAATTAATAATCATAGTCAATATTCTGCGCCAAATCCACATTGTTCAACAAGTTATACACGTTTACCACATGCACTACGTAATATGAGTCCTGCATTTAATCATTCTTCACAATCAGGTACGATTCGACCACTGATCAATACGGCTCGTCCTATTCGTCGTCAATATCCTCAATTTGAATCCGTTCGTACGCCCGTACACAAGTCATTATCATTAACACAACAGCAATCACCATCTACAATACCGTCAGAAGTATTCAATTGTTGCCAAACGTAAATTCTGAAAATTCATTTAATTAATTATTTATGCTTTTTTTTTCTTTATTTTAGTGAAAACATTTCTTTGACAACAGAGTCAATTACAATAAAACGAAATTCTCGTCAAAGAAATTCTCAACAATCAACATCGATTGAAACTAGTTTAAATGAATCAGAAGCACGTTCGAATTATTTCCGTAATGTTGCTAATATACGTGAAATAATGATTAATGCATCGAATCGATTAACGAAAGATATTGGTTCAATCTCGACTTTACCTATTGTTGATACTCATTGTCATTTCGATCTTATTTTTGATCGGTAAATTAATAATTCAAAGATTTTTCTTATTCTAAAATATTATTCTTTTTTAGTCTTCGTATTAAACATAATGATTTAAAACAATATTTCAAAGATTATAGTGAATATTATCCATCGGGTCTCTCATTTGAATTAGCTATTCAAGTTTTTTGGCGACCTAAACAATTATCTGAAAGTAAAATTTTTCATTTTAAATTTTCCTATATTTATTTTCTCAATAGGCAATTGGACAACATGGTTTTCGAGATATTTAGATGATGAACGTATTTATGGTGCTTGTGGTATTCATCCACATTGGAGTTCAGCATGGGACGAAACATCAGCTGCAGATATTGAACGATGTTTGATGCATCCGAAAATTGTTGCCATCGGCGAGATTGGTTTAGATTTTGGACCAAAGTAAAAACTATTATCCTGCTGAAACCAAAAAAATGTTTTTTATTTTATTTTGAATATCAGAAATACATGTTTAGTGCATGAACAATGTCGAGCTTTTGAAGAACAACTTAAATTAGCTGCTAAATGGTTAAAACCTATTGTTATACATTCTAGAGATGCATACGAACAAACATTTCAACTTTTAAAAAAGGTACAGCCTACTTTTCCCTTCGAATAAAATAGACTGTTGGAATTTTGCGAATCGTTATGAGAAATAACTGAGTCTTTGACTCACATGCAACTTTACTTTTAAATCTGAATTTGTTTTTATCGTAGTATCTTCAATCTGATCATAAGATTCATTTACATTGTTTTGTTGGAACAATGGACGATGTTAATCTCTTTACGTCTTATTTTACGGAAATCAAATTCGGTTTTACTCCAATTATAACTCGTTATAATTTTCTTCATACAACTATTCAACAACTTGAATTAACACAAATTTTATCCGAAACTGATTCACCTTATTTTACACCTGATGAAGTACAGAAAAAAAAGACAGAAAAATCTTCGTTATATCATTAATTATTTGTACTTTTAGTTATCTCCATTTTCACGTTGTGCTCATCCTGGTATGGTGTACAGTGTTGTTGAAATGGTAGCGCAACTTCGACATTTACCTGTGATGGATGTTGCTTGTCAATTAAGAGAAAATGCTCGTCATATTTATGGTGTTTAATTAGAAAAAATGAGCAGTAATTTCTTTTTGCCATTGCAATTGACAGTGTGTATTTCTCTTATATGTTCAATGATCTAATCGACCGTTTATTTTGTACGTTGGTTTGTTCGGTTGTTTTTTGTTTTGTACGCAAATTTTCATCTGTTATCTATCATTCGATTGATCAAATATAACTTACATGTTTAGCTGAGACTCAAATAAAATATAGTTCATTTAAAAATCATGCATTATCGTCCTAAATACAAATAGTTCACTCTTGATCTGTTAACGAACATTATACGAGGACTTTCGACAATTTTGTTCTATGAAATTATTGCTCTCATTTACATAGTACATCACGAATTGATTCGATATTCATCGATAGAATGCTGGAATTGTACTAACTTAAATAAGATAAAAAGAAACATTTAATTCAATTTTACGTTTCTCGTTCCTCATTTTCAATAGAATTCTATATAATTGAATTGAAACCTGTATCTATTTGGTCGAGAGCTAATTCATTTTATTCTTTTAGTTAAATCTGTAAATGTTTTCATTTCGATGATTTTTAAATTTAAGAAAAACACAGGATCTAAACTTCTCAATTATTGTCTCATTAGTCATATTCGACGCTGAAAGAAACACAATCCAACTGAGCTTTCTTTCAAATAACAGATGCTCTTGATTAGATCTTGATAATTTCTTTGCTCAAATGTAAGAATTTTTCTTTAACTTGCGATCACTACCAAGACAAATAATGATATTCTAGGTAACTCTAAAGAGAAATTGTAGATCGCAATTTCTTTTCTTTTAACCATTCGAACACCAGCGAAATTCTCGATCGTTCTGTCAAAATTCATAAGGTGCACCAAGGACAAAACATGAGTAAAAAACATTTTTTTCTTTATGTTTTACATGGTTATATAGAGTTTGTTGAGCTGATCACGAATATCATCTTTAAAACATTTTTTGGTCACGTTTTGGATGAAAAAACTTCGAAATACGAAAAATAGATATAAAATGGTTTATTTCGTACTTTCTTTTTCAAGAAATTTCAAAGTTTCGATCAATACTAATACTGATGAGACTTCGAAACTCAAAATTCGCGTTGAACTATATTAGATTAAGAATTTTTCATCATTCATATCTGTTTCAGGAAGACTGACACGGTCGTCACATGACGCCAAAAACCACCAATAGCACGTCATTCTGTCAAACCTATCTAGTCTTTTGTTCTACAACATTTCTCCAACCTTCTCATATCATTCGAACCGTCAAGTGAAGGCAAAA